TGACTCTAGATTTCAGCTCAGGTCATGATCTCAGGGTGGTGGGACTGAGCCCCGCATCGGGCTCCGTGCTCAGCGCTGAGCCTGCTTGGGATTCTCTCTCCCTCTCCTTCTGCCCCTCCCCCCAATCACTCTCTCTCTCTCTCTCTCTCTAAATAAAATCTTAAAAAAAAAAAAGATGGATGACAAAGTGGAAAAATATTTCCAATTTATTCCACAAAGAACAAATCTCCCTACTACACAAAGAACTCCTAGAAATTCATAAAACAACCAAAGGAAAAAAAAAAAAGAAAGAAAACTGCAGCAAAGGTTAGAAACGGTTCACAGAAGAGGAAAAACAAGTGGCTCAAATATAAAGGTGCTCAATCTCACTCATTAGAAAAATGCAAATTAAACCTAGACTCATATACCATGTTTTACCCTTCAGAACGCCCAAACTCTCAAAGTTTTATTTTGTGTTGGCAATGTTGGGAGGAAACAGATTTGACAAGAGCTATCACAATTACAAATGCCTCTTCCTTTTGAACCACCAATTTCATTTCTAGAAATTTAATGTACACATACTCTGTTCATCTGCGAAAGGATACTTGCACACAGGTATTCAGTGCAGCATTATCTGTAACAGCAAAAGACTGGAGATGACCAAACGTCCGTCAATAAAAAAGACTCGCTAAACAAAGTGTGGTTCTTCTGTATAAGGCACATACACAACGTACACAGCTGTGAGAAACGATAAACTCTCTGTACAGATCCAAGAATAGATCTCCTAGATATCTTGCTCATTGAAAACGGCAAGGTGCACATCAACGTGGATAACCTGATACTCTGTCCATGAAAGGGGGGCGGATAAAGAATATACATTTGTGTTTGCATATACACACACATTTTGGAAAGACAGAGGAGAAATTGACAGTAATTACTGAGATTATTGGATGGATATGGGAACTGGACCTTTCATTTTTTTTTTAAGGTTTTATTTATTTGAAAGAGAGAGCATGAGCCGGGGGAGGAGCAGAGGGAGAGAGGGCGAAGTAGGCTCCCCGCTGAGCAGGGAGCCCGACTCAGGGCTCCATCCCAGGACTGAGAGATCATGACCCGAGCTGAAGGCAGATGCTTAACCCACTGAGCCACCCAGGTGTGCCTGGACTTTTCATGTTATGCCAGTGGTAGAGTCTGCCTCTCTCTTCTTCCCTGAGCAACAGATCTTTCTGATTGTAGCTCGTCACACAGTCACCTCTTTAAGGACCACAAATAGCAGACCGTCTTGCTGCCAGGCGTGGCTACGAATGAAGAACTGGCCAATCGCATGTAAGGAGAAGGGATGTGTTTAACTTGGGGCATGCCTGTGTTTTTCCTTTGCCTGCAGGCGGCAAGTACATGACCTGGTAACGGTGGGTCGGCTTCTACCACGCGGACAAGGACAATACTCTAGGAGACAGGAGCATTCAAGACAGAAAGACTTGGGTCCCAGGACGACCCCGCAGAACAGAGACATCTACCCCCCACAGACAATTTGTCCCTCCCTCCCCCCCGGGACTGTTGTGCTAGAAAAGCCGTACGTCTGTCTCCTTTGAGTTACTGTATCTTGGGTCTCTTTGTTGTCGCGGCTAAAGCAGAAGACGGTACCTAGAAATGAGTTACCCCGTATCAGAAAAGCATTGTGGCCTTTGGCTCAGCAGCTGGCAAGGGAAGGGGGTGAGAAGAGGTGTTGCAGCCCAGAAAGCTGGGAGCCCTTTTTACACTGTTGCCAAACTTGTTGGAACTGCAGTAACTTGGAAGACAGGCCCTGTGTCACCCGAACTTGTAACTTCAGGGGAAACAGAAATAAAATGTTGATTGCTCCTGATTTTCAGGGAGCCACTACAAGAGGAAGATGCAAACAGGCAAGAACTGGCCGGTTTGCAAGCCGAAACGGAAGGGAATGCAGCCGAAGGGCGGTGTGTTCTGAGTTCTGCAATACAAATTCAGACTCCAACTGTTTGGGGATCCCAAAGGACTGGGGAAGCCAACTGCTTTTGTACCCCAAAAGCAGGAGGTAAGAATTTCTCTCAAAGCTTCTATGAAAGTCTCCAGTTAAGAGTGGAGTCACGGGAGTCGCGCCCATTTGCAAAGATCAGATTTAGGGTGCAGCCTCGGGGTGGTTGCCATTAAAATGAGGAAAAGATGGATAGGCCAAAAACAGACACCAGTAACTAGTCTGTAGTCCAGTGATTTAAAAACTAAGACCCAAAAGAAATTTTGGCAGTGGATACTTTCTCTGGAACTGACTGGAAGCAAACAGACCAGAAGCCTATTTAGTTTCTGAGGGACCTGTATTGTCACACAGAAATCCTGGATTTTAGGCTAGAAGCATTAAATGGATGAGCCTCTATGAGGTCTCTCTTGGGATTGGAGGAATGTTCTCTAATGTGGGAAGAAGAGTGCACATGGATATCTGAATAGTCAGAGGGGCTGCTAATTTTGCCCCCAAATCCATCTGTCCCTTTCTCGTTTGCAACGGAACCACCCGATTTTTAACTGATCACAGGATCACCAACCTAGAGACTACTTCTTCCAGTCTCCTTTGCTGTTAGGTGTGTCTTTGTGGTGGAGAACTTAAAAATGGTATGTGAGAAGTGATGATACAACTTCAGGGGCTCTCCCCCTTCCCTCTGCGCTAGATGCAAACAATAGTGGTGAGCAGCTTTGAACACTGGAGAACATCTTAGAATACGAACTTCACTCTTAGGATATGGTAGAACAATCCAAGTGAAGAAGTGTGGGTCCCTAAACAATTGTAGGGAACAGCAGGCTTCCCACCTTGAGCATTGCCCACCAGCAGACTATTACATCAGAAAAAATCTTCTATCTTATTTGAACCATTGTATTTTGGGGCCTCTGTTACTGCCATTTAGCTAGGACCCTAACTAATATAATGCCACCTTATAATTTTTAACATTTGAGCCATGAGAAAATAATGTCTACTTGGGAAAATTATTTTTTTTTTCCCAAAAGGAATAATTTTTTTAAAAGTGTCAGGATCCCAATAAAAATGTTTTTTTAATTCCATAATCTTACTTCTGAGACACAAAGCTGAGGAAATATTTCAAAAACAGAAAAAGAGATCTATATGAAAGTGTTCTCTGCAGTTCCAGAGTGCAGAGGAACAATTAAAAAAAAAAAAAAATTAGAAACATGCTAAATGCTCAACCACAGGGAACAATCAAGAAAACTTATGGGACAACTCTAGCATTACAGAGGTATTAAAATAATCATCAACATGATAAATGCGGCGGGCGAGGCAGAGAAAACATATGTATAACCAGTGCATAAAAGAAACAAACGGAACGGGAAAGTTGAATATTTTCTTACAGGTGGAACGGTTCCTGAAATTAAAAATAAAAGACATATCTCTAGATCAAAAGGGACAAACTATCCCTGGAAAGAAAGTTCAGACACTTCATGAGTAAAGAATCTACAGGGATCTAGAAATCAGAGACTTCTGCAGACAATCAGTATCAGAAGACAGCAAAGCAATACTTATAGCATCCCGAAAGAAGGAAAGATTCCAGAACCTTCTACCTGCCCAGAGGAAAGGTGACAGACACGTGATTAAGGGAAGGCAGCACCCACGATCCTTTCATGGGGGACAGAATAAAGCACTTGATGGCAAAACCCAACCAGCCAAGAAACAAATGCAATCAAGAGCTGGGGAACACAGCAAGACACGGCCAAGCCGTGGCCATGGTGGTACACACGGAACCGAGACCAAAGAACGCTGGGAAGTAGGATTATAGAACTAAATACAGAATAGGTCTCACCATATGTAAGAATTGAGATGTGAACTAGGGCAGAGGAGCTGAGAGGCGGTAGATAAGATGGCCGACTGTGTCCACAACTGAAACACTGAAAACCACCAGTGACGCTTATGCTGAGAATATATATGTTATTTCTCAAGAAAAATAAGAATGACACCCTATCTTTGTGGTTTTCATAATCTTTTTCCTTAACTTTGAAGGAATATTTCAAGAAATAATGTATCTTATTGTAAAAAAATAAAATTCACTTGAAGTTTGACAATTCCTTCAGTTTCATTATTCTTTTCCTCTGATCTCTATAAGGAAGATTGAATTCAACGCATTTCAAACTAGCCTGCTATGTGATAAAGTTAAATCCTCATAAAGCATTAATCCTATTTTTGTAAAACTATTTCAATTTTAGAATGGCATTCACTGAATATTCACAATGGATAGCTTGGTGTTGAAATTTAGGAGGATTTTTTAAAAAAAAAACTCATTTATACTTTTATATATACTTTACATAATAAACTTTTTTTCCCATAAACAAATTTCATGTTCTTTCAAAGATGACCAAGACAGTTATATAAGAAAGTTAAAATGATAAATTTTAAAAGGGTATAAAAATGTATGCAAGAGTATGATGCCAAATATATGTATTTTTTAAAAGTATACACACATGTATACCAGAAAAGAGGCAAAATGTGCCATAATTTTAATAATGCTTCAGGGATTAGGGATAGGTTTCTCTGTCAAAATCTGAAATGAAATTAGAATTAAAAAAATGTATAAAATCATGAATAGTTTTGCTGCTTCAGTCAAAAATTCCTTTCCAATTACCACAAGTAGTAATAAAAGCCCCAAGTAATAAAGGGTTAGGCTTAAGAAGAGTTTAGAGTCTGTCTGCCTACCTGGGGCAAGGAGGTATTTCCTGCGGCTTAGGGTAAACAAAGATCACGTAACTGTCAACAGATTATGTCATTAAAACTGATGACAGTGTTAACACCAGCGAAGACAAACCCACCCTGCTTTCCCTGCATGTGCAGAATCTTTAGGACAGAAAGGCCACCCCCTGAGGCGTGAAATGTGGCCATGGAGGTTCGTGGAAGACCATCTGCCCCGCTAGCACACAGACTTCATCTCAGATAGCTCCTCCCTGACCCCCCCCCCACCGCCCCGGTTGGCACATCCCCATGGCCTCCCCGCACACGAATGCAAGCCACGTACCGAACCTGGTTCTCCAGGAAGTGCATGTACCGGTAAAGCAGGGTGTAGGACGGAGACAGGATGCCCACAGACTTCATTCGGGCGCCACGCTCCAGCTCACTCTCCACGGGCATGTTGGCGAAGCAGGCCAGGCCGAAGAAGGGCCCCTTTCGGAAATAGCTAGAACGGATCCAATGCGTAGCGCGGCTCACAATGAGAGAGAGAAATTTTGTTCGGCTTTGTTTTTTTAATTTGAGACGCAGTCCCGAGGAAAACTAGTAATGGTGTCCAGGGCCTGAAGATGGATTTTTAGAACCACAGGGGAACACTGGTCCAGGCCACTCAAACCCACAGACGAGACAACCGAGGCGCAAGGAGATTATGGGATGTGCCAAGGGTCAGCCCACGGGATCCAGGACCTGACCTTGGCAAGCCTGCTGCTCAGCCGCCCAGACCATGAACATACCCTTCTCCTCTCCTGCAACACAAGCCATGATAGGGAACCAAAACAAAGATTTCTCTTCAGACCTGTCTGGAATGGTACTGTTTTATGAGCATAAACCACGTTGGTTTCTTCCCTCACTTCCTGAGTCCCTGATACTTTTAATAGGGCGAGGACCAGAGCTGTCACTTTATTCCTTCCCCTTTCTCACACTTGTCCTGGTGGCAGCCCAGCAAGAAGATTCAAGCTACCTCGTTCGGCCCTACCCTGATGTTCTAGCCGTCTGTCCTCCTCACGTGGATCTTAATTACACAGCACTATAAACCGGCCTTACTAAAAGCTGGAATTTCAAGTTTTGGCACAAAAATGTCTTAAGGTAACCCAAACTGAACTGAAAGTCCGTTCTTTCAATAAAGCCAAACCTTAAGCGAGGTCTAGTATTTTCCTAAAAGGAGAGAGAACCTCTGATAGTTCTTAACTTTTAGGGGTCATGAAACCCATTGAGAACCTAATGAAAGCTGGGGACCTCCTTGCTAGAAAACGGATATAAACACAAAACTACATGTATATTTCCTGGGCATTTCCACACACCTTTGGAAGCCTCCCTGAGGAGAGCCCTCACGCTCTAGGTAAAGTATGAGAGAAGAGGAAATGATACAGAGAAGATTTACATTCTGAAATACTTACATGAAGTCAGACTGAATTTTATGGGACCCACTGGCCATAGACTTGAACTCAACACCTTCAAGGTCAATATCTTGAGGTAGGCACCATTCCACCATGTTCCCTGCGGGGGGGGAAGGGAGGAATCTAGGTTAAAAGAAACAAAGTCATTCAAAGAAGAGGGCCTTGGGCAGGAGCTGAGGGCATATGGCTGCCCAATACATGCGTTTCTGACTCGGCCACCAAGACGCTCAAGTGGGTCATCTCATCCACCACCTGCATGCTGGCCGAGTTCCCCAGTTACTCCAAAGCGCCAGGAGACCAGCCTTAAAGGAGCCTTCCATCTCCACCTTGAGATGAGCACAGTCTCCTGTCTAGCAAGGATATGGTCTTTGGTGATGTCATTCTGCTTAATTACTTCCAACCCTCCTTCCTCTCATGGCCTCACTTCCCAAGGGCGTGTTTTTACCCTCTCTCCCCATTTCCTTTCCTTAACCCCCGCCCCCGGCCCCAAGATCTTGCTCCATCTTGTCCTTCTACAGCTACTGACTTTGACAAACCTCAAAGTCTGTATTTTGATTCACATTTTCATTGACCTCTTTGTGGCATTTGAGAATTCCTCAAAAATTTCTTGTTTTCCTTGATTCCAATGATAAACTACTACAGTTCTTTTTCTACTTCTCTGATCTAGGTAGCTGTTTCCTTCCCCAACTCTTTCTCCTCTCTCCCCAGGTGAGGCCCATATCCTAGGTTCAGCCATCGGTTCTTTGCTTCCAGAACCTTGGGGCTCATTCACTCGTCATTAATTACTGAGTTTCTACTGAGCTAGATATTGGAGCTACAAAGTCAACTAAGACATAGCCCCTGACCTCAAAGAGATTAGACTCCAGGGATAAACAAGGAGACCAGATGATTACACTTCCAGGGGATAAACGCCATGATAGAGGAGAACGTGGGATTTTAGAATGAAGCAGGCATGAGCATCCATCAGATTGAGGGAATCAGAGATATGCGCAATTAACAGTGTTACCCAGAGACTTGACAGAGCACCGTGGAGTATTTCCTACTATTTTCTTGCATATTCAAAAATTTTCAAAATAGAAATACTAAGCTATGTGTGAGATTTCACTTTTATTTTTTTCCTAACAGCTTTACTGAGATACAATTCACATACTGTACAGTTTACTCAAAGCAAACAATTCAAGGGAGAGTTGTGTAATCATCACATTTTCGACTTTCTCCCATTTTTAAGTATGATAAAACAACGAGACATTGGAACTTGCTTCGTCACCCCTAACCAGCTGAGCGGGTGCCCTGCAGGGGCTGTCAGGAGCTGAGGGGCCTGGCCTGGACTCCCTGCATGAGGCTAGACCGGTCACCTGGCGGTGGATGGTGCAGCAGTTAAACACGCACCTGGGCAGGGTTAGACTTGGCTTCAAGGCTTGGTTTTGTTACAAGCTGTGTGACCTTTGGTAAAAACTTCTTGGAGTCTTGGTTTCCTCATTGCAACATGAGGGCAATTCAGCAAGCGAGGAGGCTGACTCACCTGTAAGATTGCTCCCAGCTACTTAATTCCCAACTTCAGTGAAGGGAGAAACATAATTAAAAATAAATTCCTGAGTATCCAGTACCAGAGGGATCCGAATTCCCTGAAGACAGAGGCTTGCACGCTTCCCTTGTGCTGAGCACCTGGCAGAGGCCTCGGCGTTCCTCAGCGACTGGCCTTGGCCAGGTGGGAGAGAAATGCGTGCAATGACCCTTCCAAAGGCGGAGAAGGGTGGGAAAAGTTCGGGGTGCAGGGGGCAGTGGAAGGAGCAGGCCTTGGGATGGTCTGCCTGGGAGTGGACGGCGGCCCTGTGAGTATAACCGGGGTGGCAGGGATTGCGGGGTTTTCTTTTAGAACAAACTTCGTAGGCACGGGAAATGCCATCAGGAATGCAGCCAACAGCACTTGCGGATCATTGCTTGGCACATCAGCGAGGTCGCGAATCCAGTCTCCAAACATGGCAGACAGCACAGAGGGTTACCCAATCCCATATTCACAGCCTAAGAGCTTTCAAATAGTTTACTTTCAAGAGAGGAATCATGAATCTAATTGTGAGCTAAAACAAAAAGCATGGAAAGGGAAATGAATATTTTATAAAACAAGCGAGAAGGATGTTGTGTGTGTCTGGGTTAACGATAAGAAAAAGCACAGCACACTCCGAAAGAGGGGTGAACTTGGGGATAAAGGTATTCCCATATTTTCCCCTTACCATCCAGGCCTACTGTCTCCAGAGTTCAGTGACTTTCTGCCTGTGGAGTGCCTCAGGACCCCCAGGGAACTTAAGAAGGTACCAGGGCTGACCCCAGATATACGGGATCATGGTCCCTACCTCGTGCCATGTGGGCGAGTCTGCTGGTGAGCTCCTGCTTCGGCCTCTGTGTACACGGCCCTAACCCTTCACGATGGCAGCAGATGGCCAGCCTAGGAAGGGACAGCCTGGGACAGAGCTGCGATGCCCCTCAGGTAGACTCTGTCCTCCTCCCTCACAGAACCTGCTTCCTCTCCCCGAGCTAACTGCGTCTCTTTCCTCCAAGCCGGCTGGTCCATGACTGGTTAAAACTTTAACTGACCTCAACTTTTTTACTGGAAGCTAAGTACAGAAGAGCACACAAGTCTTAACTATCCGGCTCAGTGCCTTTTCCCAACAGGCACACAGCTGTGTAACCAAGCACCCAGATCAAGCAGCAGAACAGCCTCTGCACATCAGAAGCCTCTCTCCACGGGAACTGTTATCTTGACCTCTAACACCGTAAATTAGCTTGGCTGCTTTGAAATGTATATGGACACAATCATAGTTTGTACTCTTTTGTGTCTTCTTTTGCACAATACTTTTTTTGCAAGATTCATTTTGATACACAAAAGCAATAGTCTGTTCATTTACTCCTTCCATCCTGTGCATGGAACACAGTGGCTATTAACTGCTGATGCACATTTAGCTTATTTCCAATTTGAAGCTATTACAAACAAACCACTGTAAAATTTCCTATGCTTGTCATCGGGTGAACACACGTGTGGTGGCTTTGTAATGCGTCACCCTGGCTGGGCTGAACCACGCTGCTCAGAATTCCCTTCCTTGTATGTTTCCCGGTGAGACAGGCAATGCGGAAAGGAAGCGGTACGCATATCGTATTCACTCAGACGGCTGGTACAGAAGCGTCGGGCACCTCACGTGCATTGTGGCTCATCTGCAGGCCACCTCGACTGGGCGCGGGCCGCGAGGTGGCAGCCAAGCCTGTAAATGCTGGACCCATCCCTGGATCCTCTCTCACCTTCTCTGACTCCTAAGCCAGGTGTGTGCTTAGCTCCGTAACGAAGGGCATCAGCTTCATCGGGACACTCACATCATTAAAGCTGGAGGCAGACTGACCTGGGTTCCTGTACATCCTCATGAGCGTCAGCTTCTCTCCATCTTCCCAACCATACTCTCTTCTTCCATGACTGCCCGCCCGGTAGAGTTCAAGCTCCATCATCAGGTGGAAAGAAAGCAGCTTCACACAGACTGTCTAGCCAGCTCCCACAACTGGGTAAGACCAAATTCTTGCAATAAATCCCTTCAGACATCTCCTAGTGGTTCTGTTTCTTTGATTAAACTTTGACTGACATAATATGCACACATTTCTGTTGACTACATCCCTAGGAGTAGAACTACTGTAAAAATGTCTGCATCACTGCAAACTAAGAAACCTTTAATAATTCCCAAAGCAGTGTTTCCCAAAGCTTATGCTAATAGGGCTTCTGTGAAAAAGAAAACAATTTTTTTTTTAAGATTTTATTTATTTATTTGAGAGAGAGAGAATGAGAGACAGAGAGCATGAGAAGGAGGAAGGGCAGAGGGAGAAGCAGACTCCCTGCTGAGCAGGGAGCCCGATGCGGGACTCGATCCCGGGACTCCAGGATCATGACCTGAGCCGAAGGCAGTCGCTTAACCAACTGAGCCACCCAGGCGCCCAGAAAACAAATTTTTAAAAAGAGATTTCGGCCAAATTATCTCAGGTTAAACAAGGACAGACACATTACTGCAGAACTTCTCAGAGGCTTTAATACGTTACTCTGCATTGTGAATTTCTATGAGACCTTAATGTTTCCAAAATTTTTTGCCCAATAAACCTATTTTTAAGAAGCATCCTAAGGGACTAATTTTATAGAAGGCATTTTTTTTTTTTTTAAAGAAAATATGCTAGTATACAAGGAGATGCAAGTTGACCTCAGTATCCATTCTTCCTTTCTTACAGAGAATAGAATATCCTGTATTTAGCCAGGCACATGGTCTTTCAAATGACAACTCTGTTTCTCAGTACCTTCTTGCATGTAGGTAAGGCTACATGAGTCAGTTCTGGCCAGTGGGATCTGGACAGAAGTGTCTAGTTGCCAAGAAGTACCCCACAGGGAGAGAGTATGCTGCCCCTCCTCCATCCTGCTGCCTGGGATGTGATGACAAGCCATCATGAATCTAGGTCCCCAGATGAGCCCATGGATCTGAGCCAGCCTTCCAGCCCTAGGCCAGCTATCTCCTGTTGCATGGAAGAGAAATCGACTCCTATCTTGATGAAGCCGCTGTTCATTTGGGTCCCTGGGACTCACGGCCAATTCCCCGTGTTACTCAATACAACTGACCTGTAGAATGAAGCCCCCGTTCCTCAGCCTGGTTCTCAAAGCCACCATCCTTGCTCCTTTGTGCCTGCCCAATCCTTACTGTACAGAAACTCAAAGACTCAGACAGAGGGAAATGACATCCTGGTAGTGACATTCTTAACTTCTAGATGGATGCAAGCCCCTCAGGGGAAAGTTCCATCGGGGGCAGGCTGGCGGATCATGGAATGAACACCTGCTCCAGAACATAGCTCTGGGAATAGTTCTCTTTATCTCGCAGGAAGGATGCTTCTGCTGACACACTCCTTCAACGAAAGGAAAGTAGATGAAGCTACTCTGGTCCTCACCCCAGAAAACATAATTACTGTCTAAGATGTCTATCTCCACAGGAGAAGGGACTCCTTCAAGACAGGAACCGTGCCTGTTTATCTTCAGATCCTAACACAGCACACTGCTTAGCCCAGGACAGGATGAGTATTAAAAATAAT